CAAATCAGATCTGACTGGTACAGGAGACTGCCCCTCCTTCTCCAGCAGAGCATCTGGTGGATTTGAACTGCATACCTCTGGGATTGCAGTGCAGCTTCTTGCCAGTAGGCCACCAGAGCTCCCTCTTTCCTGTCTTTTTAATGACCTTTTGCTTTCTTCACATAGTATGTCTCTGATGTCATCCCACAATTCATCTGCTCTTCAGTCATTAGTGTTCAATGCCATCAAATATATTCAAATGGTTTTTAAATTCAGGTGGGATAAACTCAAGGTTGTATTTTGATTCTCATGGCCTTGTTTTCATTTTCCTTCACTTCAATTTGAATTTGCCTATCAACAGAATTAATAGTCTATTCTACAGCTGGCTTCTGGCCTCGTTCTAACTTTTCTACTGTCTCTTTCTACAGTTAATTTGATTCGTGTGTATACTATGAGGTTAGGTCCATATGTATAGTCACCGTACATGCTTTTTTTTTTAAAAAAAAAGTTATTAGCAATGAGTAAATAACTGATTGTACAAAATTCTATCATATGATTTCTGGTCCCATTTCTGTCACCAAGGCCATTTAGCAATCCTTTGTTTACAACTGTGCATTCTAGTCTCCCTCCAATGATTAATGCATCTTGGCTGTTTTAGTCAATCTCAGACTGCAGAAGACAGCAGAAATCTTGATTTAATCTTTAGCTTAAATAATTGTGTATATATTTGAACATTATATTAACATGTCTTCTTTGTATATATATGGGTATTTATTATCCTATCACTGACAGCAGTGAATTTTAGTACAGATCTTGAAATATTTTTTGACAATGAATGCTGTATCATTTTTCTTTAATTTTTCAAATATTGGATCATATAATGGCCTGATTCTAAAAAGACATATCATTTCAGCTCACTAGGATATACAGATGCATAGGATACAGATCTTTATAGTCCATGTCATTTTTGAGAACCTTCAATTTTCTTAGATAGTAACTTCATACATTGCACATTTCAATTATTTATAGTTGTTTGCTGTTATTTCTTCTCATTTCAAATTGTGACATATGAGCAAATGAAAGTCCTTCATTAGCTGAAACCTGTACTTCATCTATATCATTAAGATAGCCTATTTTGAGGAGGTAGCTCTCTCCCAGTCGTATTCTGAGTGCCTTCCAATCTAAGGGGCTAACACTTAGACAATGTTTTTTGTTGCTATTCATATGATTTTTTGAAGGTTCATTATTTCAGAAATGGATGCTTTTTAGTCTGTCTTAGTCTAAAAGCTATACTGAAATCCATCCACCCTGGGTGATCCTGCTGGTATTTAAAATACCAGTGACCTAGCTCACAGCAACACATAAGCTATTACAGCACTGCAAACTGAAAGATGAAAGGTTCAGAGGAACTCTGATAGCATAGTCTGTAGTGTGTTTTGGCAATCAAAAGGATCTGTGTCTCTTTTGGTTAGAATTTATGGGAGGCTCTGCTGGAAAAGGATGGGCAGTGTCTGCCTGTTAAGGTTTACAGGCTTTGACAACAAATGGAGGGATGCTATGAGTCAGAATTAATTTGATGAGTTAGAATCATATGAAAAAGAAAAAAAAAACTAAACCAAAAAAAGACTTGAATAAAGGAGCCATCCTTCTAGAGAAACTGGTATTTCATCAGCACCAGCATCAATTACTTCGGGGTCTACTGACCGGTTCCAGGTGGGTGTCCCCTCAGGTATCAGAGTGTGCCTGACTAGAGATTTTAGATAGAAAACCAGGCCTAAAGGAAATATGTGTATCCATGAGAGTTGGTTGCTATATGCACCTTGAATAAAAAAATGTAAGCAAGAGTAACTGCCTACCTGAATAAAACCAGATATTGGTGGTAAGTCGTTTGTGAAAAGTATTACTAATTAAAATAGAAAGGAATTCTAACAAAAGGGATCTTACCTTGGCTCGCTTCCTGGCATGACCATGGTTGGATGTCCGCCTCTGTTAGAATGCAATTAGAACACCAATACTTATATTAAAAATAATGAATATTTAAAACACCACTACCACAATAAGTTCACTAACAGTAAAGGCCATCATACTACTATTCAAAATACAATGAGAACTACTGGGGAGGCTGTCACTCTACACTAACTCCAGCAACTGTGATACAAATCACTTAAAGTCAAATCACAACTCACCAAGCCAACAAAAATATGAGGCTATTAAATGGTTGGACCAGTAGGAAGATAATGGGAAAATCATGGATTTTCATCCTGATTAGAGTACTTCTAGAAAAATGAAGAGAAAAATGTAGCATGAAAGAGCATTTTCCCCCAAACTTGCATAAAGGAGCCTATCTAGCCCCTAACAGATGGTGAACTGGGACCTTTAGCCATCAATTACAGCAGCACTTTTATAAGACAACACATTCAGAGCCTGAACTTGAGACACTAAAAACATATATCCTATTGTAGTAGACAAAGAATATTCTTTCTGATTATCTATCTCCCTTAACCAATAGGAGAATTCATCTAGTTCTAGGCTCCTAGTGGTGGCTCTTATGGTCTGTCTAGGTCAGGGATGTAAGACGGGAAAGGGTAAGAGGGAAGACAGAGAGAGTTCTAGAAAAAAGGGACAGGAGTAAGAGTAGAGAGGGAGCAGAATAAAAGGTGATGAAGAATCAGAACCCAAGGTGGAATAAAGGACAACAAGACTAACTGACAAAGTTTTTGAACAGTTAAGAAGCCAAATGGAGACTTTTGGGAAGAGAGAATGAGTTCTGGATGAGTTAAGGCATATAAAAGATTAAAATGATATTTCTCACAAATACACATGTAATGATACAATGTGGAAGCTGAGTAATGGTCCTCTATGAAGTGATAAACCAAACATTTGTAGGAGGATTAAGTGTGAAATCAACCCTTAATTCCACCACAATCGTAACTACATGTAGGTAAAGTTTTCCCTGAGTATGGCCTGTCGTACATTTTTACCTCACTAGAAATAAGAGGAAGAAAGCAAGCTATGCGGGAGGGAGTATGCAAACTTCAGTATTATGAAGAAACAACTTCCAAGAGTAGGGTGCATCTTTTGAGACCCAGGCTCCTGTTCAAGGAAACTCCTTGACATCAGGGAAAGCCAAGACTCATGGAGATCTCTAGGTAATACCAGGTAGGCAGACACAGAAGGGAACAAAGGCTGTCCTCCAGAACCAAAAGAGAGAACACATTCTCTTAGAGCTAGCAATCTGAATTTAAATGGACATTTAGCCTCCTAAATGTTATCTTTAGTTAAGCTATGCACTTGTGGTATGTCTTTTATATTACTGGTATCTCTTTTATCTTAGTATTAGATAACTAAGATAAGGCAATTGGTGGTTATCAAATATTTGAGATTAGGATCTGAAGGAGCAAACCACCAGCATGGTACTGGACAGACGGGAATTACTTTCTCCATTACTGTCTTCACTAGTTACTAAATAAATACTGCCAAAAGGCAAATGGAGGACCAACAAAGTAAATAGGAAGAATAATAAACGGTGGATCAGATCTGTGGCAAGATCTGTTAAAACACTGATAGCTGTAGACCAGGAATTTGAAGCACTATTTGTCACTAGTTTGTTGTGTGGGTTTTTTTTTTGTTTGTTTGTTTGTTCATTTTAAAAAACAACCTCAAACACCTCAAACTCACTGTCACTGAGTTGGAACTGACTCATAGCTGAACCATTTGATTTCCAAGGCTGTAAATCACACCAGAGAAGATTGCCCATCTTTTTCCCAGAGCTACTGGCAATGGTGTCTCTCTGGAGTCTAAGGTGTGTCTGATACAGGCCATGGTCTTCACAATCACTTGTTATGCATCAGACAGTTGGACAATGACCAAGGAGGATAGAAGGAGAATTGATGCCTTTGAGCTGTGGTGCTGGAGAAGAGCATTGAAAATACCATGGACTGCTAGGAAAAC